ACCCCCACCCTAAAGGGTGGTGTGGCCAGTCTGAAAACGACCCTCAGCCCCTCACCCAGGCTGGCCAGGCACCCCAGCGGACCCCAACCCTGATCCAGGACACCCTTCAGGGCAAACCAGCTGGCCCCCACCCGTGCACCAGGCCTCTATCCTATATAATAAAAGGGTAATGTGCAAATTGACTCTAACAGCAGAATGACTGGGAATGACTGGTCACTATGACACACACTGACCACCAGGGGGCAGATGCTCAATGCAGGAGCTGCCCCCTGGTGGTCAGTGCGCTCCCACAGGGGGAGCTCTGCTCAGCCACAAGCCAGGCTGATGGCTGCCAGTACAGCAGTGGTGGTGGGAGCCTCTCCCGCCTCCTCAGCAGCGCTAAGGATGTCCAACTGCAGCTTAGGCCTGCTCCCCGCTGGCAAGTGGACATCCCCCGAGGGCTGCCGGGCTGCCAGAGGGATGTCTGACTGCCAGCTTAGGCCCAATCCCCCAGGAAGCAGGCCTAAGCCAGCAGGTGGACATCCCCCGAGGGGGTCCCAGACTGCAAGAGGGCACAGGCTGGGCTGAGGGACCTCCCTAAGTGCACAAATTTTTGTGCACCGGGCCTCTAGTTAATAGATAATAATACAAGAATAAATGTATTTCATGTACTCATAACTGTAAACCTACTTCTGCCCCATCCTGTATTATTGTTTCTGAAATAGATTATAAGAATATGCAATTTAGGGTTTCAACTTCTAGAAGCTCTTATCATTGATTAGAGAACAGATGCCATCCTATATTTTAAATTTTTTTGCTTTATTCTTGAATTCTAGTGAAATTTTAAATTATTCTTTGTATTAAATATTACTTTTGCAATAATTCCAATCTCAGTTAATATGACAGCCTGTATTTTTAATTGAGATATAATTGACATTATATTAGCTTGAGGTATACAACATAATGAATTTGATATTTGTATATATAAAGAAATGATCACCATAATAAGTCTAGTCAACATCTATCACCACATAGTTACATCTTGTGTGTGTGTGATGAGAACTGTTCATATCTGCTCTCTTAGCAACTATTAACTATACAATACAGTATTATTAACTATAGTCAGCATGCTGTACATTGTATCTTCAGTGCTTATTTTATAACTGGAAGTTTATGCCTTTTGACCCCTTCACCCATTTTGCAACCTCCCACCTGCCCCCATCCCCCACCTCTGGCAACCACCAATTGTTCTCTGTATCTATGAGTTTGGTTTCTGGTTTGTTGGAGTTTTTTTCTTTTTGTAGATTCCACACATAAGTGAGATCATATGGTATTTGTATGACAGCCTGGTTTTAAGCATAGGTACGTGCTTGAGAATAAGGATTTAACTGCCATTTGAATACATTTAGAGCATCACCTCAGTATAAAAGGTGATTTCTTGAAATATCTTGACAGAATCTAGTACTTTGCTAGAATTATTTCTTTCTGTTCTTCCAAAGAATCTTTCCCAATGGAAAGAACTCTATATATGGAGTTATACTATTTTAGAAATGAAATGCCAAACTATAACTTCAATATAGTAAAAAATATAAATCCTGTTTAAAGACCAATATCAGAGTTTCAAAAAAGTAGATCAGTGGACATAATTGGAAGGAAATGTGTGGTATGCTTTCAGTAACACAGAGTGCACCAATATTTATAAAAATATGCATTGTAGAATTATTTATTATAGAATTACTTCCTGTGCCTCATAGATATTTCCAAGGGAAAAAAGACAGATGTTACACTGAATAGCAAGGTCATCTGAGTTTAAAAATAGTTATTTTGCAGTATGCCTCTTCCTTGTCCAGTATCAGGAGAAAATTGTCATTAAACTCTAGAATTAAATATATAGTGTTAACATGTTGAGTACATTCACATTTTGTGAAATAACTTTATTTGTTCTGCAATAGGTGGCTAGCAGGTAAATTGAGCAATGTTTGGTGATATTTTAAAGTTGTAATTTCATCAACAACTTAATAGGGGATATAAATATAAACCTGGAAATAAAAAGTATTGTATGCTATATTTGGCTACTCGAAGACTGAAAAATAACTTTCCAGTGGACTTTTCCTGGGAAGTCAGTTGTTTGTTCTGGCAAGTTTCTTTTCATCTTAAATTGTGCAACATTTAAAAGAAAAACTACTGCCAAAACCGGTTTGGCTCAGTGGTTAGAGCGTCGGCCTGCGGACTGAAAGGTCCCGGGTTCGATTCCGGTCAAGGGCATGTACCTGGGTTGCGGGCACATCCCCAGTGGGAGATGTGCAGGGGGCAGCTGATCGATGTCTCTCTCCCATCGATGTTTCTAACTATCTATCTCTCTCCCTTCCTCTCTGTAAAAAATCAATAAAATATATTAAAAAATAAATAAATAAATAAAAAATAAAAGAAAAACTATGAAGGTTACAAAAATTATATTTTTAAAGATAATTTTTTTTAATTACAGAAAATTTTAAAAATATGTTAAATTATATAAGTGTGCTGTTCCTTATTCTGGGCCCATCCCCCAGGGACAATTCTTTTTAACAGTTTCTTTTACTTCAGTTTCTAATGGGTATGCCTTCATTTATTTTATCAAATTCACAGCAAGGAGATGTTAAACTCTTGGCATTCTTAAGAAATATGTTTTAAGAATTTCAGTCTCTGATTCATACATGCCACTCTATCACTTATTTTCTTTCTTATAGTTCTGTTTGGTTGTGTTCTCGGCTGGAAGGGGGAAGAGTGTGCTATCTCCCCAGCCCCCCAGACGAATATGTTAGAATCTTCAGGGAGGTCTTTGTCACAGTATACATGCCTTTCTTCCTACCTCCAAGGGAAGCATGCCTACTGGGTTGAAAATCACGGCATGTAATTTCAGATGTCCCTAGTTGGGAATGCATTGTGAGATAGTGTAAAAGCAGAACAAAGTCAAGTTAAGAATAATATGTATATAAAGGCCGAGACATTTCAGTGGTGAACAGTTCTTTTTTTTCTGGCTAACAGATATCATTGTCTCAGATATTTTCTTTTTCCGTTTATCCCACTATTCCATTATCAGCTCGTGCAGAGGGCTCTCCCTTCTCTTCCCTTCACAAGAATTCCTGCGTGAGCATTAATGAGTAGAGAACAACAAAGCAAAGTAGAGATATGGCTGGCATAGCATAGACTGTCTTCTGCTGAGACGAGTGACTGGCTTCTGCATTCTAGACAAGGGCAGTCATATTTATATCCAGTAAGATTACTATGATGGGGCCTTCAGAGTTCAGTGGGATAGTTGTTGAAACTTCGAGTACTAACTCCATGAATGACGAACTAAATCTATCATCTTTCAGACCTTTCAACCTGGTAGAAAACTCTTAGAGGTCTGTGATTCTGCCTATTTGAAGAGTCACCTTACTGGGCACAGTGGAGACTAAAAATGACAAGGACATGGTTGTCTAAAGGGTTAGTGCCACAGTACTTTTGAGTTCTCACTGCAGCACCTAAAACGAAGTGAAAAGGCTAAGATGAGACATACTAATTTTTTTTTACCTGTTTTATTTGCAGACTGCAGCTGAATATGTAAAATCTCGACTCCCAGAGGCCCTTAAACAGCATCTACAGGACTACGAGAAAGACAAAGAAAATAGTGTTTTGTCTTACCAGACCATCCTCGAACAGCAGATTTTGTCGATTGACCGAGAAATGCTAGAAAAATTGACTGTATCCTATGATGAAGCAGGTATGTTGTCTTTCATACACACACAGTCACACGATTTTTTCTCCCTGCAGAAATTTCTTTATACATTGATTCAATTTAGGCCCTTTTTCTGAGGTAGAAGATGAAGGGCAAACTGGACCCAAAGTTAGATAGTATGGATTAACAGTGAGTTTCTTCTCTGCAGTTTTAGTATAAAAAATTTCATCAGGAGGTTCCTAAAAATGTCTCTTAAATATCAAGTTCCTTTTACACTTTTGCTCTTTTTTTAAAAGGAAATTTCTGGTCTTTTATCAATCATGGACTCTTACTGATTTAATCTTTTGAAGTGTCACTTCAATTTCAGATACCAGCTGAAAACTTTTGCATCTGATAATCCAAGAACTATTATTTGCTTCAAGTATTATTTTTTAATTTCAGAGAATTTCTTTTCTAAAGAGGTGCCATTTTTTCTTAAAGTTTCAAGCTGAACTTGATTTTCTTTTTCTTTAACTCCTTATGTGAATCCTAGTTCCTCTTATCATACCAGATACTTCGGTTCTTTGCCTCCCATAAGTTCATCCTATCCAAGGGAGCTTATTATTGAAGGCATAGACAGACCTCCTTATAACACCATTTTTATTTATTACATAGTCTGTCTGCTAAAACCCAAATTTTAATGAAACCAGTGCAATATTACTTGGAATTATTAAAATATTTAATAAAATTAAACTTAGGAGAAATATCCTAATTAAAATGGTCGTACTGCCCACCCCCCAACAAAATGGAGAAGAAAGTATAGGACAATAACATTTCTAATAGTCAAATGTTGGTAGTATCAATCCCTATTACTAGGACCTTCTGTTTTTATTTCTACAAGGAAATTGTTAGCATGCATCTCATTTTCTTTCTCCTGATCCTAAGTAGTCCCAGTGCTGATGTTCTTAACATTTGATTTCAAGCTTGAATAGCAAACAGAAGAGTAAATTAAAAAACAAACATTATGCTACACATGCCTAAACACTAATGCAATTTTTTTAGTTATTAAACTGTCCCCATTTATATTCTGCCTTATTACCCCTTTGCCTCCCTCTCAGACAAGATTCACATTTCAAGCCTTGCCTAAGACATCTCTGCTCTCTCTGATTCTTCTTTACTTCATTAATTTTCCAGACACATTGGTTTCTTCTGCCTGCTGGATGGTTAGATATTTGGTTACTGTGTTCGCCTTATTTTTCACATTCTTGTCTTTGGAATTCTCATTCATCTCTTCTCTCACCCCTAATGGAGTAAAGGCTATGGTTGGCCCAATCAAAATAATATTTAAATATTTATAGCATCTCAGAGATCATGGAACTCATATACTTCACCTACTTCCTACCTCCATAATCATTTTATGATGAGAAAACGGAGACTCACAGACTTGCCTGCAGTGACGCATTTACTTAGCTGTAGAGTTGGAACTCCAACCTCCTATTACAAATCAAGCCAGCCTTTCACCACCTGAATGCAGGTTCTCATTCGTTCAGTAGGCATTTGTCCAATGCATAGTGATATACTAGGCAGCTGGAAGAAAGAGGGAAGAGTTTTGAAACGGCAGAGAGGAATTAGAGATGTTGAAAACACTTCTTGTTTTTAGGTTATCCTCACTAAGGATATTTTTTCTCATTGATTTTTAGAGAAAGTGAAGTGGAAGGAAAGGAGGCATAAGGAGAGAGAGAGAGAGGAGGGGGGAGAGAGGAGAGAGAAACATGTATGTGAGAGAGATGCTTCTGTTGTTGCTTCCCACACACTCCCTGACCTAGACTGGGAATCGAACGCACAACACACACCAGCAAGGCAGATCTTGTTTAAAGTCTAGCTGGAGAGCTAAAACACACATATATGACTTCTGAATAAGAATTCCTGAGGATTTTGGGAATGAGTACACTCTACAGTATTCACAAGCTATTGGAGTTAAGTTCTTTAGGGGAGGACATTGGTTTAAACCCTGAAGGACAAATGATGAATGTGGGTTTGTGCAGATAAGAGAGATGCAGTTTTTGTGAGGAAGGGGCTCAAGTAGACACCAAGGTGAAAAAACTAAGACCCGTAGACCTGCTTACAGTAACATAGTTACTTAGCCATAGAGCTGGGACTCCAACCTCCTTTTATAAATCAATCTGGGCTTTCACTGCCCTACTGCAACCAGCCACAACTTCCCACCATTGAAATTTTCTACTCACCTGCATGTTGTTGAGCAACTACTGGTCTACAGAGGTGCTCTTGTACATGGCCTTTGGGAGCAAATGCTTTGGCACAGAATTAATGTATCAATAAATTTGCAGCATGAAACAGCAGAGATCACTACAGGATTGAGAGTAGAACATCTGAATTCCAGTCTTTTCCTCTAGCTTAATGGTGACCTTTAGCAAATTAATGTCTTCATCTATAAATTTGGGCTAATAATATCTCACAGGGTTATTATGATAAGAAAGTATGTCACATTTGAGGAAGTCCTTAGAAATTATGTTAGAAATGCCACTCATGCCAAATGAGAACAGATTTATGATCTTTCTATCCCACAGACCAGTTTAAAGTACTCAGAGGTTTTTCTTGGCATGTCGTCTCTGGGGAGGCAGAGGCAAATTTTTAAAAATGATCTTCAGAAGCTTTGAGAAGTCAAGCAACATCTATGTTAAATCAGCCACTCCGGGTTTCTGCATGAGGTGACGCATTTGGTGGGGGCTGTGTATGTATGAGTCAGTGAAGGTCACTGTGTGTTGTAAAATCTAAACTGCCTTCTGCTGCACTACCGCTGCACTACCCACATCTTAATGATTTCATTCAAAGAATGAGGAGAAGATATGAAAAATCATTGCTATTAAAAAGAAAAATAGGTTATCATAATACAAAGGAGTCAGAAAATAGAATAGAAGAGAAGGTACCTAATACCTTCAGATATAAACATCTTATATGAAGACATTCATTTGTTTCAACTGCTTACCTTCTTTCCATGCTATCCCAGTTTTTACTTGTTCACATTCTTAATTCCACTCTCCCAGTTTTAGGAAGTGATTAATTATTAATTAGAAAATGCCCTTCTTTGTCTGGGGAGAAGTTAATTTGCCTTTCATGCTCATCCACTGATAAATCAGGCTGCATGACAGTTACCGCATTTGTGGTTTCTAAACTTCTAAAAACCAGTCAATGAAAAATCCTTAGACACTTGTCTAAAACCATTGGCTCCGAACCTTTCCTCCCTCCTCTCTCTTCTGTCTTTCCCTCTCAGTTTCCTCCCTTCCCCATTAAACATATTTGCTCCCAAAGGCCATGTACAAGAGCACCTCTATTCTTCCACAATTCAACTATCTAGAAACCTGACTTTCAGCAAAGAAATGGGAAGGAAGCAAAAACCACCCTCTGCCATACTATGTCACAGAAACTTTAGATTCTCACCTGGAATCTATATATTTTCATTTTAAATCATTCTCACCTGTTAGATTATATTTTCTGATGTGATATTTTTAAAAATTCTTGTTCTGACATTGAGTATTGTACTTTTATTACAGAAACAAATAGAAATAAGTAGAATGGTATAATAATAGAATAATAATTATCAGTAATCCTGTCATTGTAAACATTTGGTACGTTTCCCTCACTCTAAGCATTTTTGAAATGTTATCGATATCTAGCAGTTTTATATCCTACATTTTTAATTTAACACTATGACATAAGCTCTTCTTTATTTTACTAAAACCTCTTCATGTGATGATCATTTTAATGGCTACATAATATCCTATTCTTTTAAAGTACTACTTACTAACCATTCTCCTATGTTGGACATTTGTGGTTTTGTTTTTGTGAATAATGCTGCAATACATATGATGTGCATTTGTCTGCATTTCATATTACTCTAAAGAGCAGATTTTAGAAAACCACAGTTTAGAATTAGAATTAGAAGGTGGGGAAAGGAGATGATACTGGGAGCAGAGACCTGAGAGCAGCAAGGAATAAAAGCAAAGAGCAAATTCATAGAAATCTACAAAAAACAATTATCATATTCCCAGCATTGTGCTGCACTCTACGTCAAGTCGGCATTCATAGACTCTGTAATATATAGAGTTAACATCATTAATCTTCATAATGATGACGTTGAGTCACAGAGAAAAGGTTTAATTATACTCTCTGTATAAAAATAGGAATTGTGTAAACCATTTTAGAAGGATTTTCATCCAAATGGTTTATTTTAAGTTTTGATTATTACAGTGATTATTAAGTTTTGTAGTATAATTGAAAGAGGTCTTAGAACCAAAAGACCCAGATACTATTCCTAGCCCTGCTGCCAACCAGATATATGACCTTGATTAAGTCACTAAATCTCCCTAAACCCTGTTTTGCTATAAAACAAAGGAATTAACAGGATCTCATAGATGTCTTCCATTTCTAAAACTATGATTCTGGTCTCTTGGCAATGGAAAACTCAGGTGGCCATAGCTTCTGCAAGGTAGCATGTAGCTTCTTCTTGAACTTTCTGCTTGCTCCATCATCTTTCTCCTGTCTCTTCACACAGCCCATGTAATTTATACAATAATCAGGCTCAAAGACCACTATTCAGTCTTTCTATCATCTGTCCAAGAAGATGCCCAGGCATACTTTTGTTGGTGGGATGGGAGCCAGGCAAAAACTAGATTTTGAAAGAAGAGGCTCTGAGCCATCATTCATGGGTCCTCATTAAGATAGCTTAGATATTTTTACTAGCATTTATTAATGCTATAGAGTAAGAAAATATGATTTGCAGTTGATCTATTAATATTTTTATTTCAAATCCAAGTTTATACACATTTCTATAGATTCAGCTTAGGCACTAAGGGAAGCAGTGGCATGATTTGAGAAGTGATCAAAATAGCATTTCCCACCATCTCAGAGAACATCATTAACCTAAATATTCATTGTTTGTTATAGGAAGCAAAAATATGAAGGGTTGAAATAGCAGGAGAGGGAATCTTTCCTTTCATTGTTTATTTTTGTGCTGGTATATTATTATTCATGTTTCTTTAAGTAAT